AATTGTTTAATTTATTTTATAAATGTTAAACTTTGAGAAATCAGTGACAAAGTTAAGATTTTTCGTTTTAATTAAAAACAGTTAAATATAGATTTTCATTACGCATTCGATGGAGAAAAATTAAATTTTTTTTATTTCATTTTGGTTGAAGTATCACAGATTTATGCAGAGCGATATACAAACACGTGTGTAGCGAACGGTTAAAACTAGTCTGTAGCCGATGTTTTTAATGTTCAATAAAAAAATGTTCACAAATAAAGTAAGTATTTATTTTAAGTAGACCTATGAACGTTTTAATTTAGAGTCTTTTCGCTTTATTCGTTATTGAAAAATTTGAACTTTCTTTAACTTTTTTTATATCGCTTGGTTGGTGATTCTGAAGCACGCTGAACTTTTTTCTTCGACTAAATTTTTATTGGTTTCATTTGATGCACTTAGAAACTCAGGCTCAATACATATAAATGTATTTTCATTAGTTTTATCCTCACTTATCTCATTGCTCTCAGTAATCTAAAAACTTTATTAATTTATCTTTCTGTCTATAAAAAATTGGTAAATTTCTATTTTACCGGCACTCAAAATTTGAGAATTTTAGAAAATCTGAGATAGTGTTGCCTTAATATAAAATGTTTTCGGCTTTAAAATTATCGTTTATTTTACCTATGTGGAGAACTCGGTTACGTAGATAAATTATCGTAGATGAATCAACGTTGCGCAACGCTTTTAAACATTTTTATTGATGCATAATGAGTATTTAAAGGTTTTAGTATAAAGTTATAAGCTTTAATTAATTATAACTTTAAAACTAACTTCTTGCGCCAAATTATAATTTCACCAAAATTTTTTAACTCAAAATATGACTTAGTCGCCCCAAAAAATTGCAAAATTTTTGGGTGCCCCATGAACTAAAAATGTTCCAAAAAATAAAATGAAGAAAAATATTTATTTACCGGTTTTGAAATATACTTTTGTAATACACGTCGTTTAACAGGTGGTGATATTTTGGAAAATAAAAAAGAATCAGGTACGAGTGTCTCGATAACAGCGTAATAAACGTCTGCGACAAGTTATATTGAGAACAAGGGTATCTTGTTACGTCAAAATCTTTAAATTCACATATTTATGCCAATCAGACGATTCGAAATTGTTTTTAACATACCTAAGATATGCAAAGTTATTTCTTGTTTTTAAATAAGTCATTTGGGCTATCAAAATTTGCGATTTCACCTTCGATGGACGAAATTTTGAAATTATAGTCAAAATACAAGGTCAAGTTTGATTATACATAAGATTGGATCATTTATGCCAATACCAATTGATAGGTCAAAGTTTCTTGAAATTAATTTTATGGATAGTTGAGAAGACCATGTGATAACTCAATGTCAGTATAATTTCATGGAATAAGCAAAAGAGAGAGAAATTGTAGGGTTGTTGAAAGATTTCGTAGAAAATCGTAATCAACTTATTAAATTGTTTAGAAAAATGTCATTACAATGAAAAATGGACAACTATCATATATCAAATATTCAGGTCTTTGATATTCAGGGGGGGGGGGAAAGTTTTTTTGGAAGACTCTGTTCTATCTGAACAAGTGAAAAGTATTTTTAATTATTTTCATCAAAATTCGAAATATCTGTTTATAATTCAGTTTTCCAAATCACATCGTTTGATGCAACAACATTTAAACATGGACATTTCAAGTTCAAGGCCAAGTTTACCATTTGGCTGCTTTTCTATTACTTAGTTATTCAGTAGAACCTAAGATTTTTTAGATGTAATTTATGAGCTATTCAGAGAATGTAGTAAAAAGGCGTTTATCTGTAGCTCCTAATATCGATAAACAAATATTGTATAATTTACAATGAAATTTACAAAATGGTTAAAATATTTTTTATTTGCCTTTAGAGCTACCTAACGTGACATAAAGATAAAAATTAATTTTCAAGGGCGAAGCCAGGTTATTCAGCTAGCTAATAATAAAAACTAATTGAAGGGGCAATTAACTCTTAAAATTTGTTTTTCAATTTTATTATTATTATTACTTAAATGATAAGTAGTTGAACATTTAATGCATGAAAAGATTTATCAATTTTTGTTAATACATTAGTAGTTCTAAATAGTAACTAGACCAGAAAATAGCATTAGTCTAGTACCTACTACATCGTTATGCTGTTTTACAAATTAATATTTATAATTATTTAATATTTGTTGGCCAAATGGATCTTACACCAAACGTATACATATACATAAATAATAACTAAAAAAAAAGATAAATATGTTCAAGCACGGGTTGAAATATCGTTGTATTATTTCCACTAATAATGAAAAAAAAATTAAGTGAAGCGTACCATACACAATAAATAATAAAAAAAATAATAACACAAATTAATTCAATTATCATCTATACCTATATAGATGAATCCCTTGGTCTCATCATCACGTGTGAACGGCTGTACCGATTTCGCTAATTCTTTTTTTGTTGTGTTTGTTATTGTCAGGAGAAGGTTCTTCAGAAGAAGAAAAATTGCAATGAAAATTAGAAGATTTAAGAATACTTAACCACCAAATAAAATTATTTCTAATCTTACTTTAGCACTTTAGAAAATATAAACTTTTTTAATGTAACCTTTTGAAATTTGACATAGAATTGACAGAATGCGGGCTGCAAATATCGTTAAAGAGGATGTAAAAAACTGAATATCGCAATGGTTTTATTGGCAGATGATTTTCGCCAAACATTACTAGTAATAACACGATCAACCAGCCTGCGAACTTAACGCATGTTTAAAGTCATTCATTTTATGGTTGAGTGAAAGAATTATATTGGTTGTAAATAACGTTGATGTCAACGAAATTATTTTCAGATTCAAAATAAGATAGCTGACGAATTAATAAAATACAAATCGATTGATTCCATTACTAACCAAGATGATGTTGTCAACTATCCATCGGAGTTTTTAAATTCGCTGGAATTGCCTGAATTACTAATTCATAAAGTCTACAATTAAAAATCGGATCGGTAATAATTATGTTGCGGTATATAAACCAGCCACGTCTTTGTAATGGCACTCGGCTTGCGGTGAAGAAATAAATGAATAACGTCATCGAAACCAAAACTTTGAAAGGGAAGTACAAAGGTGAAGACGTTTTGATTCTACGGATTCCTTTGATTCCGAATGACATGCCTTTCGACTTTAAACGGTTGTTCCGACACCGAATTACGTTATAAATACAAAGTTTTACTATTTATATTTGTCAAATTACAAGCTATACGCTAGATACGGCTGTATACCTGCGTATCATCAATTTCTCATAAGCTATACGTCATGGATAAAAATAGCATATTGAGTATAAGCCGTATACCCTCCAATTCAATGATGTAAAACGTGCTTTAAAATCTAAAAAAATTGATACTTAAATTGAACAAGAATAAATCCTAGGAAGGGGTCCAATATAATTACCGTACACGGGCCTCCTATTTTGTAGTTGCAGCACTGAACTCTACTGGGAGTGAAATACACACACATAATAATTCTTTGTTCAGGAAAGGGGGAACAAGTTATACTGCACTTTACATTCCAAGAGAAAAAATTTTGACACCGACTTATAACAATCCTTTTGATGGAAAATTTGAAAAAAAAATGTTCTTTGGTAATAAGTTATTTATGTCTTCTTCATTTAATCAAAAGATAATATTATATTTAATAAACTATCAAGGAAAAACAAAATGTTTATTTTAAATTTGTATGTATTAGATACATTGTATCTAGCTAGAATAGCTAGATAAAGGTTTGAATATATTTTTTTCGTAACATGGTACATTTATGCACCGATATGTAAAAATATCCATATATATAATTTGTTTCATGAACAGAAATGATTGTGTAACAAGATAAAATTTCATCAATATTAAAATTGTAATCTTTCATATAAGTACAGTAGAAATATAAATTCAAACATATTTTATGGGGATAGGAGCTAAGTATTTTACATATTAGTGAACGATAAATTATTTCCAATACAAAAGTACTCAAAACTTCTATTTGATTTGGAAATAAACCACAATTAATATATATCCATTAATTGCAGACTTTAAGCTTAATCATCAATTATTTATAGGAATTAGGAAGCTAGCAGTTTGTATTACTAATAAAAAGTATTTAAGTATTATTATAGTAGCTAACCTAACCTATTTATAAATTTATATATAATTTTATATTTATAATTTATAAATAGATATTTTTTTCATTTTAGACTACCCGTATAAAAGTTTTTAAAGAAATTAATAATTTGTATGTGAAAAAACATAAAGGACAAGGAAATCATAAAATGTACTTAAAATTATGACTTGTTATTAAAATAAGTAATAGGATTATATTACTTTAAAAATAAATAAAGAATAATAGTTTCTTTAAGTTACAGTACTTGAAAATATTAAGATTGCCAAAGTATACACATCTACATTGAACATTATTTCATTATTTTGAAACAGGTCATATGATAAATTGGAAAAATATCTAGGGTTCCTTACATATAATGTGGTTAGAAACCACTATTTTAGATTAATAATGAACTATAACATTTTGTAAAAAAAAAATGTACATTTCTCAACTAAATCCATGAAGATCAAATAATCATGGTTAATTTTATTATTAACTGAATTCTTAAATAGTAATTGACAATTATATGAAGGTATTTTATGCAAAGCTATAGGTTCATCAGTCATTTTAACTTATTCTTTCTTTCTATGAAATGTTAGGAAAATCATCAATTATTTTCATAAAAGTTGAACAATTGGAATTTTCAATCAAATTTGTCTTTAGTAATGTTGTGCCTTAGACCAACAATCTGTTAGTTTCAAGCTACCGCTCTGATATATTCTACACCATTTAAAGTAGAAAAGGAATTCATATTACTAATTAGTACTACTAATTTATATGCAAATAAAAATAAAATATATTATTAAATATTTACAACCTATCAGTATAATATATCAAGCATATAAAGTTTTAAAATTGTTACAAAATATTAAATATTATTTGTTTACTATATAATCATTAAAAATATTAGTTACTGAACAAGAGAAGTTTCAAAATCCATATTAAAATCAGCAGATCTTATACAATGTTCAAATCCCATTTTCATAACAAACTGCCACACAGTATTTGAATGGAAGTTTTCCAGCTCATCAGCATACAATAACCAGTTCAAAGATGGCAAGAATTCTGATAAACCTTTTTCAGACACAAGTGATAATACTTTGAAAAATAAAAGTTTGTTTACAAACTGTATAGGGTCATCAATTTCTTGATCATGAAGAGGATATTTTAATGTTTCTCTTAATATTATTTCACACCATAAATGACGACTGAGCATTTCACATTCATCTTTGTTTTGAATAAATTTTAATACAGATAAAGCTCGTAAACATTGATTTTCATCAAGCACAACATTTTTTTCATGTAAATAAAAATTAAATATGTCTACAGGTGATAATACAGGCATATTATTAAAATTCAAATCGAAAACTTCCAAGACACACTTGGGTATGTTTAACTGATGTTCTATAATCTCTAAGTCTTTATTTATACTCTCCAACTCAGGAGATTTGACTAATGGTCCATTTTTTGCAAGAACAGCTATTTTGTATAAATTTAATTGACTTTGTTTTCGAAGGACATTTGTGTTTTCCTTAGACCAGCACTGTTTAAGTGATTCACATGTCAAGTTAATATTTTCTGATAGTCCTCCAGCTATCCAACCATATTTTGGGTATGATTCTAATGCTAATGCAATGTCACGTTCATATTTTGGTTTACGACAAAAATTTCGTAACAGGTCAACAATTTTACCTTGTTCTAAGTACCAAGAAAATACGGTTTGACGGAAATTTTGTTCATAAAGTTTGTCCATAAAACTATACAATAAATCAATATTATTAGTTTTAAAACAAACTTCTGTTATTATTCTGTGATCTGAATATTTTTCTGCCAATTCAATTACTTTGTGGTGTTCCTTATACTCTACGAGTTTGTTGAGTAGATTATATCGCATTGTTGTATAATTACTCTCTAATTCTGAATACACATCAATACAACTTGATAATAGAGTGTCAACCAAAAATGCAACTTGATCAGATATTTCTGAATATACTTCTTTAGAAATATTTGCCATTTTAGCAAACTTGAGACTTACATTAATTTGTGATGTAAGTTCAGTGTATATACCATCATCTTTTCCACATAAGATCCAAGATATTTTTGATTGTTTTTGTTTTTCAATTGGAAAAAAATCAACATTTTGTCTTCTATATTCTAATACAGCACCAAGTACTTTTACTAAAATTCTATTTACATTGCATAATATACTACATATATCTACAGCACTACGATTAGTGGAAGCAATTTCTTCACTGTAAATACACAACCTTTTCAAAAGAATATGAGACATGGTAACTTGTTTATAAAATTTGTCTATATGTGTCAATCCTGGTGGTGAAGAATAGTCATCTGAATGACTTTCAACTGCTTCTTTTATTAATGTATCCAATAATTCGCTATGTTCAACTTCAATTTTTCTAAATGTTATTGTAGCTTGTAATTTTTCACTTAAATCTTTTAATGCACATCCAGTATAAACTTGGGTCCCATACTTATTTATATGCCTCATACGAGCCCATAACCCAAGTTCTTGTAAAAATTTAAGATACCAGTGTATTGCTTGCTGTTTTTCTTCTAAATGACTTAATATCACCATTGACGATGATCTGATTGTTGGTTCTCCGTGAACACCCAACCAACGTGGATCATTGATTGGTATATCATTAACTAGATCTTCTCCAACTTTAAATACAGTTTTATCAAGGTTCGATCCATCAGTTGATGAAGATTCTTCTGGACATGCTTGTTTTACTAGTGCTCGGCAGTTATCTATCTTACGACTAACAAACTGAAGGAAAGCAGATTTTAATCGAGTTTCATTGCTACCACTTTCAACATCAGCAGTTATATTAGACTGATTTAAATCTGGAGATTGAAGAACACTTCTTGATTCATTAAAGTCATATTCAACATCTGTTATTTTAGTAACTACAGTTAGACAATGAGATTGAGTAAAAAACATGCCATAATTATTTACTACTGAACCTCCACCAAATTTTAAATCACAATCAACTCCAATAACATCAGTTTGAAATGGTTCAAAAGTAACAACAAGAATATAATGTTTAGACAGTATAAATGTTTGTTGATCTGTTATAAGCAACTGTGGTGTGCATTCATTTAAATATGAACTTTCAATATTATTAAGGACATGTAAAGAAGTTATTGGGCACTTGTTATCTTGAACTTGTATGGTTGCTAAAATATAATAATTATATGCTTGGTTTGGTTTGGTGTGAATGAGAACAATAACTTCTTCATTACGATTATTAGTTGGTTTCATGTCAATAATTTCCATATCCATATCTCCAGTACTAATACTATTAAACATCATAATAGAAAACTTTTCTTGTAAAGAATTAGCTAAGTTAACTTCAAATAACTGTTTTTCTCTATTTGGTTCTGAAACATTCCACTTGGTTAACGTTGTGCCATTAGTTGTTACAATGTATAAGCGTTCAATATAATTAGAAGAGCTTTTTAATACACAACCGCATATGGTTTTAGGATCAGACTGTGGACCAGTTGAACCAAAAACTAAAGATGATATGTTCATAGATATATTACCCAACCAACCAGTAGACTCTGTTAATATTTTACTACTTATTTGAGGACGAACATTATCCAAGTTGATTGTTACCATAACCAAATCAGCTGTAGTTGTCAACAATATGAATCGAGAATTGTCAACTTGATATAAGAGTTCACATTCCTTGCCCATTAATTCAGTATTATATTCAAAATATTCAACTTCATCATAAACATCTCTCCAAAAACGTATTAATCCTTCAGGAGACACAGCTATACAACAAGCATGAGACAGTGACTTTCCTGTTTCAGGTTCAAAGACCCAAACTAGAGCAGCTTGATGAGCAACTTCACTAGCAGGTAATCCAAGTTCAAAACAAGGATTCGTTCTATTTTCTTTATTATTTTCTGCATTCCAAACCAAAAGTTTACGACCATACACAAACCATGCCCATAGACTATCAGATACACGAGCAGACCATAATATTTTATTTTTATGTGATACACTCAAGCCTTCAAGTACGGGATTGGGAGTATATAGGCCATATGATTCTAACTGATACCGGTCTGATTTACTAACGAAACGACCATCAAAATGTAATGTATGTTTCTTGGTAGGTATATTTCTGCTTAAATTCATTACAGGTCCTCTGGAATGAAGTTCTCTTCTTAGATCAAATGAAGCCATTATAAAATGCCTAGAAAAAAAAAAAATTAATTAAAATAACAGAAAAATTTATTTTTATTAACAGGACACTATAATTTTTATCTTCTCATAATAGGTAAGTTATTTTTGTAAATAATGTGCAATCAAAAGTTAAAAGGTTTATTTATATTGAAAACAATCAAATAAACTATATACAATCAACATGCAGTATAATTTAATTTTGAAAATAAATCAAATTCAAAAATGTGTAAATAATTTGTCAATTGAAAATGATGGAATGATGGACATGAATAATCCTGTAATAATTTCAAAACGTACAATAATTAAATAAAATAAGGTCAATTAATATTAAAAAGTATGTGAAAAAGTATTAAGTACCACCAAATGACTTCAATGAGTTTATATATTATTTCTATGTCACTTTTTCGGTAGATTTAATTTCAATTACAATTTCATTTACACAAATGCAAATGGTATTAAATACATTAAAATCTATTTTAGACATGTTTATAAATTATAATGAATCCAGTTAAAGGGAAATGTACAAAATACATGATACAAATTATAATTATATCTTATATAAAGTAATATATTTCATTATATCCAGTTTATGTACAGAAGCATTAAATATAAATTAGCCATTTCAATAAGTTCAAAAATATACAATTCTACAGATACAATTGCCGAATAGTGACCAGTGATCATAGAAGAAGAAAACCTAAACTGATCAATAAGAAATTTTACATTATAAATATTTAAATGAACATTGATCAGTTAATTTTGTTTAAAGCAGTAATAGCAATATGACTATTATGTAGACGGCATAACTTATTCTCGATTAATGTCGACCGTCCTAGCCAATATTATAGTACATTAGGCTCGACATCAGAAATTACATCACGGAATACAGCGGGTAAAACAATAACCGTTTGTGCAATGTTCGACGGTTCCGTTCAAGCAAACTCACCGTAATCAACAACGTACCTGTAATTCGAATGGTGCGGGCGTTAGAATCGCGTAAACCACTGCGTCATTCGTTCTTTTATTTCGGTGCACTTCTACTTCTCTCCGGTGAATGTTGTACCTGGTCGAAATCACTAACGGAACGAACGATGAACCCGTGTACCGGGGATTTTGCGTAACAATGTCACCGGCAAGCAGAGAGAGACGTCCAGAAGCGGGCAACCAGTTCCGTTTGAAAATCCGACGAGACGTTGCGGACCGTATTGTTTGCGGTTATGGTACGAGATAAGAGAACGTACCGCGGCTGGTTACCGCGCGACCGGTCGGCGAGATAATACCATGGTTCTGCGATAACATCCGTTCGGCTATTCGACGCCGAAAACAAACTGTATTAACGTCCGACTTCGAAGCGGAACATGCACCGTTTTGTAAACGAATGTACGGAAATATTTTTAAAGGCATTAAAACGTTTAAAGGGCAACAATTCGCGGTGCGACCGAAAAGCACACGAGACCCGTACCGTGATAGAACCGTGTTATCGTCCCGGTTAGGTCGTTTTCGTTATTGCCATTTACGAATGTGACAATCGTTCCGACCGTCACGGTTCGTTTAAAGACCACTAGATAACGTTATGTATTTCGTGGCTGGACGTAACCGACATACCTATTGTACGTAGCAACTGTTGACCATTAAAAAATTGTTTTTTACCCGGAAACGTTTTACCGGCAGTGGCGTATATAGGTTTTCATTTCGGAGGAGGCCGATTATGTATTTGATTTTTGGGCGGAAAGGAAGGAGGAAGCACACTATTACGAAAAAAATTACTTTAATACTATAAGACTTCTCGACAGTCT